GATTCTATAAATTGAGTTATCATTTTCAATTTTATTAATGACTGCTTTGAGATTTTTCTCCTTAATTTTGATCTGGGTTTGGTTTGTGGTTTCACGAGTATATTGAGCACCTAATGTATCTTATTACATTATTTATTTGAGTTCAATTTGTTTTTATAATGTGAGCACTGATTACAATAAATTTCCCTCTTTGGACATTAATGAAATTAGAAATGAAGCAGCCAAATTAACAATAGACACCATTGAAATCGATAGGGTAATAATTACTATGAAAAAGTGTCTTCCAACAAATTTGAAAATCTGAAGAAATGGACAGACTTAAATTCATTTACATTTCCAAAACTAAAACAAGAAGACGTAAAAATGCCAGTAATTTATTAACAAACAATAAAACTGAGGCAGTAAGCCTAAAAACTAGAAAAAGTCTAGGACCTGATGGATTCACTGCTGAATTCTACAACACTTTGAAGGATAAATTAACAGAGTTGAAATATGGTGCATGACTCACTCTCAGCCAGTACAAGTTTTTTCAATTCAGATTGTTTTTTTAAACTTTGCTATTGGAGTAGTGGAAAATTTGAGCTTGTAGCTGTTTGACAATTGGGGTATCACTATACTCTGGACAAGGTGATTGAGAACATTAGGAATTAGGGTGATGTCCCCTGTTCCTGGATAGGGACAAAAAATACTTACCTTATTGTCAAAATGGCCATACATATATTATATGGCAGTATATATGTATGTGTATATATATATATATATATATGGATGGCCATGCAATGCAATCCTAATCAAAATTGCAACAGAATTTTCTTCCCATTTCCCATTGTGTATTTTATATTTTGGTCCTTATTTAGAGTTTTGGTTTCTCACACCAGAGAAACAATGCAGTATTTAAACATGTAGTTTGATTTAATTTACACAAAAGTATGGTCTCAAGGTGCATCCCTTTATGTAGAAATGTCTCAAGCTTACCTTTATTTATGGCAGAGTAGTATTTCATAATATACATATATATGTATGTATATACATACATATATATGTATATTATGAAATACTACTCTGCCATAAATAAAGGTAAGCTTATGACCCATCTTCTTTATCCAGTCATTGGTTGATGGGAATTTGGGATATTTCCAAGAGTTACCTATTAAAAACTGTGTTGCTATAAACATGGGTGTGCATACATTGATGTTGTATGATGCTTTTAATTTTTATGGAAAGATACTAATAAGGGGAAGATCTGGGTCAAATAAAACCACTAGTATTCATTTTTTGAAGAATCTCCACACTGCTTTCCATAGTGGCTGCACCAGTCTACACTCTCATGACAGTAGAGAAGTGTTCCTTTTTGATGACAGCCCCACCAGTATTTGTTATTGGTTGATTTCTTGATAATAGCCATTTTTTAGTGACATAGAATCTTAGTTTTGTTTTAATTTGCATGTTTCAAATGACCAGTGATGATGAAGTTTTTTTTCATATATTTATTTTTAGTTTGAACTTCTTCATCTGAGAAATGTCTATTAATTTCAGATACTCATCTTTGGACTGGGTCTTTAAATTTGAGAGGCCTGATTTTTTTTCATGTATTCTACATAATAGTCCTTTGTCTAAGGAGCAGGGGGCAAAATTTTTTCCTACCTTATGAGTTGTCTTTTCACTCTGTTGGTGGATTATTTTGCTGTGAAAAAGCTTTTTAATAAGATTATATCCAAGTTGTTGATATTTTTAGTATTTTCAATGTGCTCTTGGTTTTGTTCATGAAGTCTTTGCCTATTCTTATTCACTTCAATTTTAGTTTAGTGTGTGGTGAAATATACAGGTGTAATTTTAATCTTTGGCACTTGGAAAGCCAGTTTTTCCAGCATCATTTATTAAAGAGGCTATCTTTTTCTTCTAGTAAAGATATTTGACCCTTTTGTCAAAAATAAGGTAGCTCAGTGTGTTTAGAACTGTTTCTGAATCTTCTAATATGTTCAAATTGGAAGAGGAATAAGGGAAGGGGAAAAGGAGAAAGTAAGGGATGGAGAAGAAATAAAAGAAAATAGATGGAAACAAAGCTTTAGTAAATAAGGGGGAAAGCATTGAAGGGAGTGGAAGGGAATGGGAAAAGAAAGGAAGATATATCATGTACATGTACAAATTCCCTATGATAAATATTATCATTATGTATATCTAAAATGTATCAAGAAAATTATACAACAACAACAATAAATCCAAAAGAATTTCAACAACATTCTTCACAGAACTGGAGAAAACAGTCCTAAAATTCATAGGGAACCAGAAGAGATCCAGAAAGCAAAAGAAATACTTGGCAAGAAGAGTGAAACAGGAGGCCTCACAATACATGACTTCCAAGTTATAGTACAAAGTCACAGTGAAAAAAACAGTATGATACGGACACAAAAACAGACATGTGGATCAGTGGAACAGAACAAAGTAAAAACACACCCAAACACATTCAACTATTTCATCTCCAAGAAAGTGGCCTGGAAAAATTGGCTATCTATAAACAGAAGATTGAAGATGGACTTGTATCACTCACCATGTACTAAACTAAAATAAAAATGGAGGAACAATCTCAACATTAAAACAGAAATAATGAACCTCTTGTGAGATAAAATATGCCTTACTCTTTAAGTCAAGTCATAGATGTAGGAAGGACTTGCTGAACAGAACTCCAATTGCATATGAAATAACAGTAAGAATCAACAAATTGGGCTATATCAAATTAAAAAGCTTCTACATTGCAAAGGAAACAATAGAGCAAAGAGGCAAACTACAAGATGAGAAAAATATTTTGCTTGCTATTCATTAGAAGGCTAATATCTAAGATATATAAAGAATTGAAAAAAATCATACCACCCCAAATAAGCCAATCAAATAATTGGCAAATGAAATAAGTAGACACTTCTCAGAAGTCCAAACAGCCAGTAAACAATTAAAAATGTTTATCATTTCTGGAAATTAAAGAAATACAAATTAAAATAATCCTAGAATTTCATCTCACACTAGAGAGAATGGCAGTAATCAAGAAATGAAATAGCAAATGTCGTGTCTGTGTTGAAAAGGGAACTATAGTACATTGCTGGAAATGTAAACTAGTACAATCCTTGTGGAAACTAATATTGAGTTTCTTCCAAGATTTAAATTTAGAAATTTCATTTGATCCAAATAATGCCCATTCTAGACATCTGCCCAAAATAATAAAAGTAATTATGTTACAGTGCTACATGTGTACGAGTGTTTGTTGCAGTCCTATTTGTAATAACTAAATCCTGAAAGGAGCCTGTATGTCCATCAGCAGACAAATGGATAAAGAAAATGTGGTATTGATACATAATAGAATACTACCGATCTATAAAGAAGAATACATTGGAGACATTTAGAGGAAAATGGATACACTTGGAGAATATAGTGTTAAGTGAAATAAATCAGACACACAAATTTAAATATTCTATGCTATCCCTCTTTTAAGCAAGGCAATTACAAATAAAAAGCAAAATAGAAGATGGATATAAAGAAACAGAGATAGATCTTTTACAAATGGAAAGTGTTCCAGCAGACCAAGCATTGGGGAAGAGGAGTGGGCAAAGGGAATAAAATGATTTAAGGTGTGTCGTGCACACACAAGGAATGTAAACATTATATGTCATATAAACAAACTAAAAATTATAATAATCATCAAAATAGAAAAATGGGATTTATAGTCTGAGAGAGGGAAGTGGGTGGGTAGGGGTAGGGAATAAAACTGAATCATGATATATTATGTACCTGTACCTATCCCAAAGATCAGTGTAAACTTCCTGTACTGCAAATATATAATAATAAATTAAAATAAAAAGTAAGGTACTTGCACAGAAAAAAAAACTTAATAAGTGGATGTATACTGATGGTCCAGCTTCTGTATTGTATCGGTAAGATAAGTGTATGGTATTCTCTATAAACTGAGAATTTTTCATGAGCTGTTGTTTATGTTGATCTGAAAGTTGTTCTCCTATAATTCATACCTATTCTCATTTATCTTAAGCAAAGTAAGAAAAGTCCTATCCACTTTTCACATAATAGTTTTTTTTTTCCATGTTTAGGCATTTGTCACATCAATACCTCTTCTCTCCCAAAGGACTTCTTTAAAGTCAGACTTCCTGAGTGCTTCACATGTCATGATTCTTTACTTACTTTTATCCATGTCAAGTTTTGTATTTTGTCGTAGAGCATTGCTGATATGTAATATTGCATAAAATATGCATTGCCAAAAATTACCTCTGAAACACATAACGAAGAATACTAACGTATTTTGTGCTTGATAACAAATAACTTTTATGTTTTAATTATTGAATTAAATATCATAATTACATCATCTTTATCTTTGTACTTTAAAATATATTTCATGTACTTTATCAAGAGTAGCTATTTGTAAATATGCTATGTCTCTTAGTTACTGTCTAGGTCTTTTTTCATCTTCTGAGTGTAAAAATGCATATTTTTTTCAAAAACAATTATTTATTTATTAGTGTCAATTGTGCTAACATTTAAATTAATGACATATTTAAAACTGAACATTTAGTTAGTAGGTATGTTTATGATTGAATTCCTAATAATTACTTCTACTTTTTCTTCCTTTGTCTCTTTTCTTCTTTTCTGTTTGTCAGTTTTCTGTGTGGTGATAAGAAGAACCATTTCTTTCGTGCTTGGTATGGACTTGTTGTCCGGCACGTATATATTCGCGGTCCTGTTAGCATGCGTCGTGTTTCAGTCTGGCGCCCAGGAGAAGAATTATACAATCCGAGAAGAAATGCCAGAAAAAGTCCTGATAGGCGACTTGATGAAAGACCTCAACTTGTCGTTCATTCGAAACAAGTCCTTAACGTCTCCAATGACGTTCAAGCTAGTGTACAAGACTGGGGATGTGCCACTGATTCGGATTGAAGAGAGTACTGGTGAAATCTTCACTACTGGCGCTCGCATTGATCGTGAAAAATTATGTGCTGGTATCTTGACAGATTCCAGTTGTTTTTACGAAGTGGAGGTTGCTGTTTTGCCAGATGAAATATTTAGACTGGTTAAGATTCGTTTTCTAATAGAAGACATAAATGATAATGCACCGTTATTCCCGACAACGGTTATCAACCTATCAGTTCCAGAGAACTCTGCTATAAACTCTCGGTATGCTCTTCCAGCGGCCATTGATCCTGACGTAGGAATAAATGGAGTTCAAAACTACCAACTAATTAAGGTGTGTATGTAAAGTATTTTGTTGAATAAATTATTTTATTTTGCAAACAACAAGCCAGGATCTTAGTATACTTCAAACTCTGAGTAAAGAATGAACTCAAATTTTCAGTTTAAGAAAATCATATAAAGAAAATTCATCAATGCTATTTTGACAATTACATGGAATTTATGAACTGTCATATGTATATTCATTTTTCAGCTTTAATTGAGTTTATTGGTACATTTTAGGGATACAGTACAGTTACATTCATCATTGGGATCTTGTACCTCTACATGACAAGTCTTGATTCTCATTTTTTCCCCTTACCTCTGCCCTCCCTTCACCCCCTCCTCCCCTCCCCAACTAAAATTACTTTATTTCCATCTTTTCATTATCTCACATTTTTTGCTTTCCCCTTATTACGCTTCTCCTACCCATCCCACCTTCCCTACACCTTTAGCTCCTTTCTTCCCATTTCACAATGTCAGTAATCTTATTAGGATCTTATGTATATTCATTCATTTTAAAAATATTTATGTTTCCCTTATAAGTATTTAGGTTAGACAAGCTCAGCTCTGCTATTTACAAATCAACTGTATGCCCAGTATTTTACATTTAATCTGTTTGGTAATGACAGTGCTACAAACTTCACCAAAACAAATATTTCTAACTATTAAGAATGTTTCAACAAAAATATCAATTTTCTTAGTGATTATTTTATATAGAAAACCTTATTTTGCCATTTGAAAAGAAGCTGAGTAAATTTATCTGAGAGTCTTATATGACATTTTTACTACTATGCCAACATTTCTGAACATATATAGAATAAATATTTTTCATGATTATTTCAAGTTAAGATTTTAAGCATCTTCTGAATCATTAAAATGAGATTAAATTTGAGCCAGGGGTCGGTTAATGTTAAATATTTTCATTTTGTTTCATTTTTTGGAAGTACTCAGTATTCATTTGCTGGAAAATTAACTAGGCCTTTTAGTGAAAAAGAAACTATTTGGGCTTGATATGATTTGTCTAAGGATGGAAAAGACAAAGGGAAAATAGATGGAGTGTTTGATAGCCTCCCACATATGTGTATACGAACCACATTTACCAAGTGAATAGGCAATTCTTTTTAATAATTTATAATTTATATGGACTAGTATAAAACATAGACTTGGGTATATGAAATAGTACAACACAGGTGAACGAGCAGATTCCATATTTGTGTAATGAGATATTCAACATTTTTAGATATTTCTGTTTATTTGAATATGTTTGACATTATGACAAAGGTTTAAAGGTATTCAATGAACACATAAGTATGTATCTGATTTATATCATCTAAAAATTTTGGTCTGAAAGATATATAATATGGGAAAACCTCAACTGATGCTGATATGCTGTAAAGATATATTTGTTTATGAATATATTCAGAAATACAATATTATAAATATCTTGAATGAAATAGTTACATTAGAGTATATGAAGTAAAAATAAAGAGGGTTTAATTATTTATAAATAAATATTGTTAGGTGAAGTCACTAGTTTTATCTCTTTTACATATGAAATGGAAAAAATATTAAGGAGTTTGAAAGCTATTCCCCATCATTTCCTCCTCATCTCTTTCTAAACATGCTAATTCCTGCTTGACTTTTCTGATGTAATCTATTTAATTGTAATATTTAAATGTTAATATAATTATTACAGGGGTAAAATTGGGAAGAATTTTCACTATGTAAGAGTAGATCTGTGTAAAATGCATTTGGATATGGTTTCATAAAACATTTGACTACTTATAGATATAAGAAGCTTATCACTTTAAAGTATAAATCGTGTAGCAGAGTAGATACTTTTTCTAAAGAAACACTGCCTAACATAATTTTCTGAAGATATAGAGGTTCTATAATCTGTGATATTCAAACTGGTAGCCACTAGATATACAGGTAATTGAGTACTTGAAACATGAATAGTGCTAACGAATTTAAATTTTAATTCAATTTAATAATTTAATTTTAATATTAATAGCTAATAGTCGTTGCTATGATATTGGACAGCAGAGCTTCAAAGAGAAGAATTTAGGTGGAAAATAAATTAAATGAAATGAAAATGGCACTTTAACAAATTTAAATAAGGAGTTAGAAATAGAGTCTCTACCCAACATTCTGACATATGTGTTGTATTAAAATGCAGTATTTTACTCAAGAAATAGTTTCCCCATTTTTCCCTCAAATCAATGAATTTCTACCAAATTACTGCTTTGTTTTCAAAGCTGCTTAACAAATTCAAATAAAACAAATTTCACAGCACAATTTCATCTTTGTTTAAATGTATTTTTACTTGACTTTCTTTGAAAGATTGTCAGCAAATGATAAAAAAGCTCACCAGAGGCATTTAGATGAGTTGTAAAAATAGAAATGCTCTAAAAATTTTTGGGGATTCTTTATAATGTGCAGTAAGCCTAAAGTAACTATATAATGTGCCTAGACTGTAGGGCAGTTGAATGGCCTCTGGATAGATACTGTTCTAAGCCTCTATTGAAAACAATAAGAATGGAACACAATGTAAATACCCAAGCATGCAGAGGGCCATGACATGGGTGACATTAACAGAGTTTGCTCTGACTTGTAAAAATTTCCTATCATGAAAGAAGCAGGTGTGGGTGTGGAGAGAAAGAAAAATAAAGAAAAATAACATGTTTTTACACTCTTGTAAACTTTAGTAAATTTTATAATTTGAGAGTAAGGAGGTTACTTATATTGATTTCTTTTAAAAGACCCTTGGTCTTACAGAGCAGGATAAGAATTTAATTAATATTAATTTGCTATACTTTGTTGATTAGACAAGAATAGTAAAATCAGTTTGTCCTAACTAGGGTAATATAAAATATACATTAAAAATTCTAATAGCAAGGGGAGGTTGGTAGAAACAGAAAAACAATATAAGGAAAATTAGGTCAATTTATAGGTAAAGGGGGTCCTGCTGCTGAAAATTTTATATTAAATAACTGAAATTAAAGGCAAGAGTGGAAACAATTTATTAAATGTTTCAAAATGTGCATAATAAAAATATTCTAAATTAACAGAGTATTTCTAAAACTTTCATTAATATAAACATCTTAATTTAGGTCAAACAATTTTTTATTACTTTAGGTATGCTTTGGCTTAAACAGAGTCGTTTTTCACATCTAAAATATCTGGAAAATGAGTTTCAGAGTGGATATTTCTTATGTTCACAACAAAAGTAAATGACAGATTTGGAAACATGAACGAAGTTCTGATTCTTAGATTTGATTTAAAAAGTAGGCAGACATAATCTTCAGAGAAGAGGGTCAGAGCAAGTTCATGACAGAAGAAAAGAATGAATGAAGAAAAGGGGATGAAACTGTGCAATGAATGAAACGATTACTATGTTATTTTGCTTGGTAGAAAATATAAATTAAAGTAAAATTGATCTGTATGATCTTGTAAGGTTAATTTGCATCTTCAAAAAAGAATATTACTTCCTAAAGAATAAATGATTCATCTGTAAGAGTTCTTGTTCTTGAGGCTTGTTATAAAAGCTCAGATAGGAAACATTCTCTTTTCTACATTTCAAGTAAAGTTAGGTGCAATGAGAATCCACCATGACATTCTGATATAATTTCTCCATATATATGTATATGGATATATATATATATATCCATATACATATAACACACTACATAATTGTGTACATATACACACACCCACATATATAATGTACCAGATATATTAGTATTCAAAAGAGATCAGGAGTAGGAAAGTACAGTCCCTTTGTATTTCCTTAAGTTTTAATTTTTTATTACAATGTCTGCTCATTTATAAAGCTCTTTTTTTATTTTCTAGGTTTAATTGACTTGAAGCCAACACTTTCACTAATAGAAATATCTCTCAAGCACTCGTACTGACCCAAGATATGCGTATAAATCTCAGGGACCTACCTCTCTGTTTTGGCTGGAACTCAGAGAAAATTAATTTGAATACTGATATTACAGATGACTTCATTACTTGCTTTAGGCTTCCATCTTACCTAGCAGTTATCAGCAGTAAAATTCCTAAACTAACCCCCTAACTATCTGCTGATTGGTTTCCTTAAGGGAGACATGACTCTTTCAGACTGACATTTTGTGTTGACAGAACATAAAGACAACCATTTTCTAACATATTTTTGCCAATCCCATAGCTCATCCTGATCTCTCCTAGGAGCCTCAAGAGATAATTTAATTTGAAGTGGAGTCTGTAGACATAATCAAGGCTATGGGCCCTTGTTTCCTTTTTAATTGAGCATCTTCCTCATTTATTAAGACTAGACTTGAATTTATAAAAATAAGGATTGAGTTGGATTCATTTTGAAATCTGGGGTGAGAAAATTCAAATTGTGAAAATGTCATTTATTACTAAATGGAAATGACTTAAATTGGTGTTGACTCAATTGCTGAGAATAATGCATCAAATAATATAATGTGGATAAAAAGCAAGCGAACTTTATTATGAACTAATTGGATATTCTGAAAAAGTAATGCTTCTTTAACTATAACTCAGAGGTGTGTAATATTAGGAGACTGGAGAAAAGACTGATTGCAGGAAGAACATAAAACATTGTCTGTAACTATTTGAGCAAGCTTACTTATTTTACTTCCCTTTAAGAGACACAGAAGAGTTCCTCATATTTGCAACTACAAAGTGAAGTTTTACTTAGCAGATCATATTTTCAACTTCACTATTACTTGAATTTATAGTCTCTGAATTTTATGATGTGCGGAATAACATTTTTAAACTACATTGAAAAGCAAAATGCTAATGAATATACTGATGTTATAATCAAAGTACACCTTTTGTGTAGAAAAA